ATGTATGTATGTATGTATGTATGTATGTATGTATGTATGTATGTATGCATGGACTGTTCACGGTCCCTGGATAAGTGCTGACCATGTGGGAGGGAACATACATCCATATAAACATACCTGTCCACACGTGCTGAGTAATGCACAGCGCTGGGGCATTTTTATGGAGCCCAGCCTGGTCTCGCGCTCACTACATACCCAAGGATGAATTAATTCCTGTCCATCTGGCCTTCTGAGAGCCCAGCGACAAGTGTTCCTGCCATGGCAGCTCTGTCCTGGTCTAGTCACATGCTTTCTAGCTTGAACCTCACCTGCTGAAGCAGGGACCTAACAGCCTCCAGCCCATGAAGTAAGCAGACTTCTTTCTAACATTCTCAGGCTCAGTTTCCCCTATGCATCGCAGGGAGGAAGGATGGCATGCAACAAAGAGCAAAGCCACGGGCAAGGAAGACAGGACGCGTAAGTCAGCCATTGCCAACACCAGCAAAGTGCATGCTTTAGAGTTGGCTCTGCTCATTCTTGTCCCAGCGGCAGGACTTAAGAGTGGTGCACACCTGTCACCCAGTACTCAGAGAAGTCTGAGGCAGGAGAACCAGGAGTTCATAGCCATCTTCACTAACGATGAGATCAAAGCCAGCCTGGGCTGCATGAGACCTAGTCTCAAAGCAGGCAAGGAGAAACTTTCTCCATTTGAGCAAGTAAGTTGGCGTCCATCTGGGTTCTCAACTTTTCGTTGCAATGCAGAAAGATGCTAGGGCTAGTGTGGCAGTGTGTATGACCCAGAGGAGAAACCAGGTCTAGCCCCATGGATCCCCTCAGGCTATGTGAACAATGGAGAAATGGTGCCCTATAAATTGGACAGAAGGATGGTCTTTCAGACAGTTCAGAAAGCTGTGGCAGGCTCCAGAAACTCTCCTCTTGGGTGACTGGAGACTTGTACATGTGTTTTTACAAGCCAAAAATATAAAAGCCATGGGTGACTGCATAAATTCAACATGGTCCAGCCATGCACTGGAATATTATTCAGCCTTACATAGGAATGGGATGCTGACACTTGAACAGGGAGGCCATTCTCCTAAGTCAGTGCAAAAGTGAATGAACACTGTATGACTCTACTGACCAAGGACTGGAGTGTCACCAAATATATAAAGACAGAAAGCAGGTCTACAGAGCCCGAGGGGTGGGGTGGGGTCAGGAGGTTGGAGTGTAGGTGTGTAAGTGGGACAGAGCCTCAGAGGAGGCAGAATGTGCATGTGGCTGCCTCCCATTCCTGTGAGTCCTGCCTCCTCAGAAAGGCTAACATGGTAAAAGGAAAAGAACACGGGGACATGCTCTGATCACCTGGAGACTCACACAAATGACACGACAGAATGTGCACACTGCTGCCTTGCTGCAGAGACAGCTGAGCATGGCACCGAGTTCAAAGACATAGCGTTGAAGTCTAGGAACCTGTGGTCCCCAGGCCCTGCCCACTGATACTAAGGGACACCGCTGACTTTCAGGGTGATGGCTGGGCTGGGGTGGGGAATAGGTGTCTGCTCTCACCTGCTCCAGCTTGAAGATGTGCTGGGTGAAGTAGTACTGCAACTGCTCGTTGGCGTAGTTGATGCAAAACTGCTCGAAGCTATTCTGTTCAAAGTCCTCAAACCCAAAGATGTCCAGGACGCCAATGGACAAGCACTAGGAGACAAGGTGTGGTTACAGCCAGGGCCTCCTGGGAAGACTAGCCCCCTGAGAGGGGCTACATAAGTGGGGATGTGCTGTCCTGACCAGCTTGGTACCCACTGTTCTTTACAAATGGTTCCTTTACTACTTCTTGATGGAACCAGGCCTGCACATATCCAGTAAGTATTGGGGTGGAACCTAGAGCCCGGAGCCCGCATGCTGGCATTGCTGGGGGTGAAACCTAGCTTATCACACTTCCAGGCATGGAGTGAAGAGGCCTGGGTTTCTGTAGAATAGAAGTTCTCACCCTTCCTAATGCTGTGACCCTTTACTACAGTTCCTCGTGTTGTGGTGACCCCAACCATACAATTATTGCACTGCTGCTTCATGACTGTCATGTTGCTCCTGTTAGGAACTGTAATGTAGACACCTGACATGCAGGAGATCTGATCCAGGACCCACAGGGTGAGAACTGCTGCTGTAGAGGATAAGAGTCCTCTGCCAGCTCTGGTGTCTGCAGAGATTCCACGGGTTCCTAGCCCCCATGGCTTGTTCCAAGGTCAGGGTTTATTCTTGCCCAGCTCAGGGCCTGGCCACTCACGGAAACAGCCTCTTCCATGTCCTTCTTGTTGAGGAGGGCGTGGTTGATCCTCAGCACAATCCAGTCAAACAGGGCACTGTACAGAGACTTGGCCATGGAGTCCCGTGCAGTTACGGCCTGTGGACAGAGGGTTTCTTACCTGGGGAGGGCAAGCATGCCAGGGGCAGGCTCTGGAGCTGACAGTCAGGACCTAGTTTTGTCTTATTTTTATAGACAAAGTCTCACGTAGCCCAGGCTGGCTTCAAACTTGCCATGTAGCCAAGGATAATTAAACAACTGATCCTACTGCCTCTACCCCATCATGGGCTGGGATTGCAGATGCGTGTCACCACAGCTGGCTTGTCACAGGTGTTATAAGGCTCTGAATCTGGGGTCTCATGTACAGGTATGTTATGACTGTGCCATCCCTAGCCTTCAACCAGGGTTTTCACCTTCTTCCTGCTGAAGTCTGCTTAATCCTACCCTGGCCCCAGGACATAGAAGCCGAGGAGGCTTAGAGCCTGGGGCTGCAGCACAGCATGGGCACACAGCATGGGCACATGGTATGGCATGCCGCCCACATGGCCGTGGAACTACTGAGGAAGTGCTTCTCAGAACTCCTGTAGGAGTGCCTACTCTATCCCTCTACCCATGCATGCAGACATCTGCCTCCAACTGCTGCCTCTGCTGGGGACACTTACACAGCCTCTCTGGGGGACATCTGAGCCACACATGGATTGGGTACACTGCAGAGAGGTCAAGTCATGTCAAGAGGTACCTTGGCCCACAAAGGCTCACTGTCCATGGTCCCTGCTGGAAATGTAGGCTGATTCCCTTGGGCAGGGTTCCTATAGGAGGTTTCCCACACCCTGCTATCAGGTCCTTTCCTGGTGCCGTCCAAATTCAATTTGCAAGCCACAATGCTCTGGACATGTCAAGAGCTAAGGGAAATGTACCAGGAAGAGAACAGCAAATGGAGAGGATGGCACAGAGAACTATGGGTTGAGGGTCACAGAAAGGCCACCTCAAGCACAGGGGTCAGTCACCTCTTTCTCAAACAAGGCAAGTGGTTGATGCTCTCAGCTTTTGGGGTCTAAAGGGCTCTGTTGTAGCTACTAAGCACTGCAGCTGCAGCCAGAAGCAGCACTGGACCGGATGTAAATGATGAGTATGGCGATGTCAATAAAACTTTATTTACAAAACCTAATTGGGGGACAGGTTTCAGAGCATGCTGGCGTGGCATGGCCACTGAGCATCTGGAAACATTGAGGGAATGCCTCAGGTTCCATTTCTGGCCCCTTACTTATCTACACTTTCGGATATCTGGAGCTACCTCGACCAGAAAATTCCAGAAATTAACAACTCTACTTTAAAAAACTCTGAGCACTTGTGATGCAGCCTGGATGCATCTTGAGATCCTGCACCTCATCTGGGTCAGGTTCATGTAGTTATCCAGTGGGTCTAGGGGTGAACTGCTACCTGCCTACTATCACTCAGTCTTCAAGCTCTGCCCTGTACTGCAGTGCCTGAGTTCAATGAAGAATAATGCTATCTAGTGATGGTCTGGGCAGTGGGGCACAGTGGCATGCTCTGGTCACCCTGGAAGTTGTTCCGAGTTTAAGGCCTGCCTATGGTATAGAGTAAAATTGTCTTTAACCAATTTTTTTAAAAAAGTAACTGTTGGCAGTTAACATAAGCTGAAAAAGACTTCTTAAAATGAGAATGCGAACTGTAGAAGACATCTGTACTCTGAGCCATGAGGCCATGCCCCTGTGACTGGTGCGCTGCGGTTGTTATTTCTAGTCTTTTCTGATGAGGCATTACTGCTAACCTCACACTGTACCCAACTTATACATCAAGCTCTCTGGTGTGTGTGTGCAGAAGAAGGGACTGTTTGGATGCTTCTGCTTTGTGGCTTGGCAGGAGCTGCCCACGTGGCTCTGGTTCTGCAGGGCTGAAGCCCTGGCCTGGGCTCACACTCACCTCACTGAGGCTGTAAGGCAGGATGAGTTTGTCATTGACCGTAACCGTTTTTCTCTTGGTTAGGACCTCCACCAGGGTCTCCCGCTTTACCTATTTCCAGGGTTGGGAGAGAAGGGTGGGAAGGTGAGGCACTTGTCTAGAGAACTAGGGGAGGCAGGATCAACAGCAGAGGCCAGACTGGGAAGGGCCTCCGAAAAACCTGGCACCCTCCTGCCTACTACGTACATAAACACACCTACATGTACACACACAGTGAAAAAAATCTTAAGAAACAAAAATAAACAACCAGTTCCCAAAGTATGGTGGCTTACTCTAAATTCCAGAACTGGGGATGAAGAGGCCAGTGGATCTCTGAGTTCAAGGCCACTCTGGTCTACACAGTGAGATCCAGGCAAGCCAAAACTACATAGTGAGCTCATACCTGTCTCAAGAATAAGCAGGTAAGTAACATTAAAACTAACTAACCAACTAACTAGCTAGCTAGCTAACTAACTAACTAACTAAAACCTAAAGGCAAACCCCTCACAAGACCATTTGTGGTGGTGTATGCCTTTAATCCCTGAACTCAGGAGGTGAGGCAGGCAGATCTGAGTTCTGGGCCAGCTAGAGTGAGACTGTAAAAAATAAATAAAAAACCCAGAAGGGTGAGCAATAGACCTCACTGGTTCAGCAGCACAAGACTGAAGATTCATCTAGTCGGCTCCAGGCCCTGCAGTTCTGTCACCAGCAGTGTTCTTTTGTTTTTAAAAAAGGAAACCCTTGGACTAGTCATGCTCTGCACCAAAGGCTGGGGCAGTACTTCAACCTCCAGCCACTAGGTGTCAGGAGTGTGCCCAGTTGTATGAACAATTTTCTTACTCGACACAAAAGTCTCCCCAGGTGAGAACCAGCAGAGACTGGCTATACATGAAATAGGAACATGATTTCACACTTCACATCTGCACCCAGCTGTATTTGCATATGCAGGCTTATGAGTTTGATAGAGTGACAGGGACACAGGATCTGTCACTGCCACATCCCCAGTCTGTCATACTCATTTTGAGTCAGGGGTCATCACTGAGGTACCTAGGTAGGTTTTGAACTTAGAGCCTCCTACTTCAGTCTCTGGGTGGCCAGAATAACAGGCCTGTGCCACCACATCTAACCCCAAACTCTGTATTTTAAATTTAGTTGTTAAAAAACTTGTGTACATGGGTATTTTGTCTAAATATCTATATGTGTACCACATGCATGCCTGATGCCTGAGCCTGCCGGAAGAGGGTGTCAGGTTGCTGGGATTGGTTGTGGAGTACCATATAGGTGCTTGGATTCAAACCTATGTCCTTTGGAAGAGCAGCCAGTGCTCTTGCCTTTTGAGCATCCCCAGCCCCCAATTTGTGTTTTTTTGGAGACAGGGTTTCACAGAGCTCAGGCTGGCCCTGAACTTATCTCCCTGAAAGTGCAGGGCTGACAAGTGTGTGCCAGCACATCAGGTTTATGTGGTGCTAGAATGCAACAGAGGGTTTGTGCACACTAGACAAGCCCTCTGTCACCAGAGTTACAGCCTCAGCCCAGAAAAAAATGGTTTCATTTCTTTACATTTAATTTTGTGTGTGTGGCTATGTTCACGTGAATGAAGGAGACCCTGGAAAGCAGGCAGTGGCTTCCAGTGTCCTGGAGCTGCAGTCACAGCAGATGTGAGGGTGCTAAGGTCTGAGCTCCACCCTCTGGAAGAGTAGAACCCAGCACCTCTCCTACTACACAGTGTATGTAGCCAGACACACATACACACAGACAGACACAGAGAACAGCAAGAAGGGGACTTCTCAGAGATGACACGAGGAAGCAGGCAGCAGACAGAAGTTCCCCACTTGTCCCCTGTAGTGAGAGGCTGCCACTGTCTTGGGCTAGGCAGGCTGCCCCATTGTGCAGCCAGGAAACAAGAGCAAGAAAGGATGGTGGAGACAGGAGGTACCTTCAGGAGCTTGGATAGGGTGTCCAACACCTCTGGTGGCCCAACCTCCAGGCCTTCATCCCGGCCTGTGGCTCTTTTCTTGTAGGTGACATTGCCAAGGTACAGGATGGCTGAGAGGACAGAGAAGATCCTGGGACAGGAAGAGGTTACTGCAGTCTGCGTCATCTGTATCTGTTTCTGCTGTAGAGCTTTGTGTAGCCTGGCTGAGGGTGCTCTCCACTTCACACTCCTGTACCCACTCCCAGTCCCGCTGCCAGTGCCATCACACTTGGCTCAGACAGTGCTGCAGACAGAACCCAGGGTTCACACCTGCTACCTATGGCACTCTAGTCCTGCTGGGTTTAGGGGGATCAAGCTATGTAGCCCAGGCTAGTCTTACCTGACATCTTCTCAAGCACTGAAAGTATCTACACCACATTATGCAAACTTAAACTTTTTTGCTTGCTTGTGTTTGCTAATAGACAGAGTTTTATTTAGCTCTGGCTGGTCTTGAACTCACTATGGAGATCGGGCTGGTGTTGAACTTTCAATCATCTCTATTTTGCCTTTATTTCTTTGAGATTAGGCTTCACTATGCAGCAGAGGTTGAACATACGACCTTCATGCCCAAAGCCTCTCTGGTGTAAGGATGGCAGCTGTGCACATCTTCAACTGTCGGAACAGCTGCCTCCCAGCTCATGGCTACAGCCCTCACCTCTGTTCTATATGGGACACCACCTACTCTCTATGGAGCTGGCAGTCAGCTCTGCAGAGGAACTGGCTGTCATAGGCGGCTCAGCAGCCCACTTACAGCTTCTTGGTGGCGGGTAGGAAGCCCACCATTTCCATGGCCTGCTGAAGCCTTTCAAAGTCATGTTTGAGATCTTCTCCATCTTCAATATTCAAGTTATGCTGAAAAATAAAAGGCGTGGGCACTTGGGCACTTCCGGCCAGGAGGGAGGGGAGAGAGCAGGGTGACTCAGGATGGACAGGAGGAGAGCCAGGGCTGGGAATGAATGGCAGTCATTGTGTGTGTGTGCTCAGGGCTGGGCTAGGGCCGAGCAGGGCCAGGCTGGCAGCCTCTGACCTCTCTGTGGCAGACAGCCTTGGGCACAGTGGTGGCGCCATGGCTGTAGCTGTTTACCTGGTTGAGGTAGAAATAGTCTTGAGGCTGTTTCAGCTGAAATTCCTGGCGCTCCTCCTCACTGACACCCAGCAGGAGATAATAAAACACATGGTAGTTCCTGTGGGTGACCAGCGGAGAGAGACAGTCAGTGCCTAGCCAGGACCACAGCAGAGGAAAGGGTACATCAAAAGGTTACAGGGTGGGAGGTATGGCTCGGCTGGTGAAGGCACCAGTTGCCAAGCCAGAGGACCCAAGTTCAATCATTGGGACACATTTGACAGAAAGAGGGAACTGACTTCCAAGTTGTCCTTTGACCACATAATGCACATGCACGTACACACACACACACACACACACACACACACACACAAACATATAAAAATATAGTTACAAAAAACAGTAATGGCCAATGTGATGGTGCACACCTAAAACACCAGGCACTCTGTAGGCAGAGGCAGGAGATTCTCTGTGAGTTTGAGGCTAGCCTGGTCTACAAAGTGAGTTCAAGGAGACCATGGGCACACAGAAAAACCCTGCCTTAATAAAAAATATCAAAGTTTTAAGTATTCTTAGAAAGTGGGAGATTCTCAGGTGAGTGGAGCTGGGACAGGAGTCTCACTAACTAGTTGACACTGGTGTGCTGCTAGGAGACAGGGCCTCACCTTTAAGCTCAGCCTGGCCTGGAACCTGAGATCCTCCTGCCTCAGCATCTAAGTGCTGGATCACAGACTGTGCAGTTGTGCCAGCTCTGAGGTGTTACCAGGATACATTTCCAGATGACACTGAATAGCCTGGGGCATCGTCTCAGAGTGGGCTGTAGTGGGTACAGGGTTGGAACCCACAGCAGCGAGTGTGTGGAACCGAAGGAGAGGGGAAGCTTAGATTCCGACCACGGCTTCCACTTAGAGGCCCACAACACTTACTTCACCCTGTGAGGGCCAAATACCACATCCGAGTGTTGGAGTTGGCTGGTCTTACAGAGGACCTACATTAGTTCCCAGGACCCACATGCTGGTTAACAATCCCCTGTGCCCTCTTCTGACCTCCCAGGTTACCAGGCATACAGGCAGTGTACTTACAGACACTCAGGCAACACACTCATACTCATTAAGACAGAAGAAATAAATTATGCCCTACCGCTCATCCTTCTCCTGGGAAACCAGGCGAGACTTTTCAAGAAGGTATTTTTCCACAACAGCTCTGTCATAAAAGAAAAAAAGGGAAAAATAAGATATTACATTTTAGTGTTGATATTTCTTGAGTTTTTGGCTTCAACTGTAGTTGATGATGAAATCAAGAAGCATAAATTTAAAGGGAACACTGTTAGCACTGAGCCTCCCTTTTGAGCCTCACTGGGCAATTCTAGGCAGGTCTGCACTCCTGAGGCACGCCCAGCTCTTTACTGTAGGGTTCTAGGGCCCTTATTTATGTCTAAGCCAAGGCCTTCACTTGGATAGTGTATGCTGTTCTTTCTTCCTCCATTTCACCCAGGTTTTCATATAGCCCAGGTTTGTCTCTAACTTGCTGCATAGAAGAGAAAGAGGAGATGCCTGACCCCTTCCCTGAATCTTCTGAGTGCTGGGATGAGGCATGGAACCCAGCTATACATGCAGCTACCCACACTCTCTGCTGAGCTGAGACCCCGTTTCTTCTGGTATGTGAGTTTCACTGTGTAGCTGAATTTGGTCTTGAGCTCCTGCTTCTCATTAACTATTTGTTCTGCATGCTAGGATAACAGGCATGCACCATGCAGGATATCTGTACTGCTCAGGGTAGAACACAAGGCCCTGTGCTTTAACAGGCACTAGGTGGCCTCTCTACCAATGGAGCCACATTCCTCACCCACATCTCTGCTCTGGCCTAGAAAATGGGACCATGGTGCTGCCTGGTGTATGTTTTTTGTTGTTGTTGTTGTTGATTTTTTTTGTTTTGTTTTGTTTTGGAGACAGGGTTTCTCTGTGTAGCCCTGGCTGTCCTCGAACTCACTCTGTAGACCAGGCTGGCCTCAAACTCAGAAATCCGCCTGCCTCTGCCTCCCAAGTGCTGGGATTAAAGGTGTGTGCCTCCACTGCCCGGCTTGCCTGGTGCATGTTAATACATAAATAGCTACCTACAAATGCCCTGAAGATCACCCCTGATCCGGCTTCAAACTAAGAAGCAGGAAATCAGCTGACCACTATGACCTGGGCAGACACTGCTGAGCGTGGTACACAGAAACCTGACAGGCAGAGCAGTCTGGGCAGGTGAAGGGAGCAAAATGTTGAGGGGGGACACCAGCAAGATCCTCAGGAAGCCGGTCAAGGTGTTTCAGTCATCTGCTACTCCAGTGTAAGCTCAGTGGCGATTTTCATGCCCTGGCTGTTCCCCGACAGGATGACAACAGACAGCTCATATTTAAAGTGTCACTTTGGCTCATGAGGTAACTTAGCATGTAAAGGCAGTGGCTGCCATGTCTGCCTCTCAGTTTGGTGCCTGGTGTAGGACCCTGAAGGGCTGCTATGCCCTGGCTGAGCCTTTCCATATGCTGCTGTCTACTAAATAACATTCTGTGGTTCCTCTAGGATCAAAACATCCTGACTAAGGCATGGTGCCCCAGGAAGGGAATTTACGCTTGACATCCTATTGCCCCCCCAGTTGAGTTCCTGCTTTTTCCTGAGTTTGTATTTTTCCTTCCCTGGCTTGGTGTATATATATATTGAACCTGCCCAGTAAATGTTTTGGCATTCTCTCATAACGGATGACCCGAGTCTGAGTCTTTCTTTAATCCCCCAGGCCTACGCCCGAGCTCGGTACTACGGGGGCTGGCTGGCCAGCTCAGTGAGTGGAACGTATTGGAGAAGCGGTGTGGGATCAAACTGAAAGTAGTAAGTAGCACTAAGAGAGTTTGATCGTTTTGATTGTGTCATGGGAACTAGGAGTTCCTCCCTACAAGTAGCGGCACAGGATGATGCAGCCAAGAAATCCTTGCATGAGGTGGAGAATAGCTCCAGTTCTGAGGATGAGGGAGGAATTTTAGAAAAGGAAAAATTGAAGAAATGCAAGGTCAAAAAATTGGAAGGGGAGCCTGGAAAAGGGGAAGCGAGAGAGGATGAGCTACTCAGTCCCCTGATGGCGGCAGTGGCAGCTGGGATGGCACGATGGCCAGGCTGGAGGCAATTCTGCTGCTGCAGCAGCAGTGGTGGCGGGCGGCTGCAGGAGCTGCAGAGGCCGTGGTCCACACCAGCCATACCGAATAAAACCAAGAAAGAGAAAGAATCACCAAAACTAGTAAAAAGTAGAAAAGGTTCAAAAGAAGGACAAGATACAGCAGAAGTAGAGATAGCCAGCAGGAAAAACAGCCTCGGAGCTGTCCAGTCTTCGACACCTACTAAAATAAAAGTACCAGTCCCTCAGCCAATCATAGTCCCTGTGAAGAAAGGCAAACGGCAGAATTCGTCACTGTTTAATGCCAGCAATAATAGAGAACTTCGAAAATTCCCATCTTTACAAGATGTTCCTCCTGCGGGTCAAGAGAAGCTTTTCATCTAGAAGCTATGTCAGTGTTGTGTCCTCTTTGACTTTGGTTCTGACCCACTGAGTGACCTGAAGTGGAAAGAAGTAAAGCGAGCTGCGCTAAGCGAAATGGTGGAACATATCACTTACAACCAGAACATGATCACAGAGCCCATTTACCCCGAAGCTATCTACATGTTTGCAGTTAATATGTTCCGAACCTTGCCACCCTCCTCCAATCCTACGGGAGCAGAATTCCACCCAGGAGGAGATGAATCAACGTTAGAAGCAGCCTGGCCACATCCGCAACTTGTTTATAAATTTCTCTTAAGAATTTTAGAGTTTCCAGATTTCCAGCCCAATATAGCAAAGAAATATATTGATCAGAAGTTTGTATTGCAGCTTCTATAACTCTTTGACAGTGAGGATCCTCGGGAGAGAGATTTTCTGAAAATGACCCTGCACAGAATCTATGTGAAGTTCTTAGGCCTGCGCGCTTACATCAGGAAACAGATCAGTAATATATCTTATAGGTTTATCTATGAGACAGAGTACCACAATGGCATAGCAGAATTACTGGAGATCCTGGGAAGTATAATTAATGGATTTGCCTTACCACTAAAGGAAGAGCACAGGATTTTCCTGTTGAAGGTGTTGCTGCCCTTATACAAAGTGAGGCTCCTGAGTGTCTACCATCCCAAGCTGGCGTACTGTGACATGCAGTTTTTAGAGAAGAACAGCACCCTCACTGAACCAGTGGTAATGACACTTCTCAAATACTGGCCAAAGACTCAGTCCAAAAGAAGTAATGTTCTTAAATGAACTAGAAGAAATTTTAGATGTAATTGAACCATCAGAATTTGTGAAGATCATGAAGCCTCTTTTCTGACAGTCAAATGTGTTTCCAGCCCTCACTTTCAGGTGGCAGAGCGGGCACTCTATTTCTGGAATAATGAGTACATCGTGAGTTCAATCAGCGACAGTGCAGTGAAAATTCTGCCCATCATGTTTCCATCCTTATACCGCAACTCAGAGACCCACTGGAACAAGACAATACACGGCTTGATATACAATGCTCTGAAACTTCATGGAGATGAACCAGAAACTCTTCAATGACTACACCCAGCAGTTCAAAGCAGAGAAACTCAAAGAGAAGCTAAAAATGAAAGAGCGAGAAGCATGGGCTAAAATAGAAAATCTAGCCAAAGCAAATTCCCAGGTACTAAAAGAGAGTACCTCGGGAGTGTTGAGGCTTTGTGTGACGCCTCCTAAAAAGGAGATGAAAATTTAGACCTTGAAAATGGGGGGGGGGGGTTAGAAGAGCAGTTGTCCTCTCTCAGGCTGTGTTAGCAACAGAGAAAGAAGAGACTGTTTCAGAGCCCTCCTGGGATGTGTCCTGCTTTCTCTCAGGCTCCTACTGGAGAAATCCTTAGTTCTGCTTTTCTTGTTTATTGTCTGTCCTTGGTGCGCCAATCTGTTGTCTGTTTTTGTTTCATTGTTTTATGTTAAAAAAGTGTTTACTGGGTATGATTAAAAATTTGCAACTTTGATAATAGGAAGTTGGTTTAATTAGTAACTCAGGGCTGGAGAGATGGCTCAGCCATTAAAGGCCAGGCTATAGTAGAAAGAACACATTTAACTTTAAAAAATTATCTTGAAAAAACAAAAAAGGGGGAGTTTACCTTACCTCATGCAAGATTATCCTTTATTTTATATATTTTAAATTTTTTATTAGTGGATAAGGATGCGTTGTCTGCAGCAGACATTGGAAACGAGCCCAGAAGGCACTGGGCTTAGTGAAATGGAAAGAATTGTCATCAGGTATATGGAAAGGCCCTGACCCTGTGTTAGTCAGAGTGAGAGGTTCTGTTTGTGTTTTTCCTAAAGATGCTGAAAGTCCTGTTTGGATTCCTGAGAGTTGTGTGCGCCCTGTCACTACGCAGCCTTGCCCAAGTGGAGATCTACTGGAGCCTTGTGAAGAACCCCCCCAGTTCTGATGTCAATGGGGATAAGCAGCTTGACTTGGCCGGTCATAGTTCCTACCAACAAGACTACTAGAAAAGCTGCTGCTAATTATGAGAAATCAACAATTTCTTTATGTTAATATTAATGTTGCTTGTGTGCAGCCTCTCTATGGAGAGAAGTTTCTACCAGGACTCAAACTGGCCGGAAGGCTCCTTAAAGGATGGGCTAGAGGTCCTCGTCTCTGGGAGTCCTAGCTTTTGGGGCAGCCACAACTTGATTGATATTTCTTTGCCGATTTCACAGACAGAAGATCCAGTCCCAGGCAGTTACTAAGCAGGTGCTCGTGTTGCTGGCATGAGAGAACCCTTCTGCCCAGGTTTGGCTCAGCCTTTACCAAGAACAGTTAGTCAATGATGGGCAACTCCTTTGCAGTCCTTACCTACCTAAGACAGGGGCCCCGAGGCTGACAGAGATTCCCATTGATGGGTAATTGGTATTGATGGAAGGTGACCTAAGACAGATGCTATTCACCTATAAAATAAAAACAGGGGGCTGCTATACCCTGGCTGAGCCTTTCCATATGCTGCTGTCTACTAAATATCATTCTGCGGTTTCTCTAGGATCAAAACATCCTAAGGCATGGTGCCCCAGGAAGGAAATTTACACTTGACATCCTATTGCCCCCAGTTGAGTTCCTGCTTTTTCCTGAGTTTGTATTTTCCTTCCCTGGCTTGGTGTATATA